CTCACCATAGCCCGTGCTACTGGAACTTATTGTTCTGAGTAGCGAGTCTTAAACAACAACAACCAGACTGACTAGAGCAAGAGAGAGAGGATACAGGCCAACACCTGGAACCTGACCAACCCATCTCTAGGCAAAGAATGTGTGTATGTATACACATGTGTATGTATATAAGCACATAATTGCCAAGATATAACTTTTTTCCCCTTTGGTCATTTATGCACCCATGTGACGCTGTTTACCCGGAGACGTGGACGTTGGGTACAGAATATTTATACATGGGCTGGCGTCATGTGTATGTGTCATGTGTATGTATTCCGGCTGACGGCTGGGACACTTCGTCATGATTTACAGGGTCATGCGTAGCAGGGGCTGCGCTGGGTGTTGATGAGGACGGCCGTGGAGAGGAATGCTGTCATGACATCAGTCAGGGAGGCCTTGTTCCCGCCCGATGTCTAGGTGACGCTTCAGTTTCCCGCGCGTTATAGCAGCGTCGTCCGCCTTCGGCTGGTGCCCTTTGGCGCGGTTTTCCGCGGGGATTTGACGTCGCGTTGCGGCTCTTCTTCGGCGTCTCGGAGCTGTTGGTGTTGCGTACGGTGTCGAGTCTTTCGTTGTTGATGTTGTCGTGTGGCGACAGGACCGTCGCTTTTTTAGTCTGGCGTCATAGTCGTGGTGTTTGTTCTAATTTCCCAGCTGTTTGTCCTCGTATTGTAGCTGTTTGTCCTCATATTGTAGCTGCTTGTCCTCATATTGTAGCTGTTTGTCCTCATATTGTAGCTGCTTGTCCTCATATCCCAGCTGCTTGTCCTTATATCGTAGCTGCTTATCTTCATATCGTAACTCCTTGTCCTCATATCACAGCTGTCTGTCCTCATATCACAGCTGTCTGTCCTCATATCGCAGCTCCATGTCCTCATATCGTAGCTGCTTATCTTCATATCGTAGCTCCTTGTCCTCATATCCCAGCTCCTTGTCCTCATATTCCAGCTCCTTGTCCTCATATCCCAGCTCCTTGTCCTCATATCCCAGCTCCTTGTCCTCATATCCCAGCTCCTTGTCCTCATATCCCAGCTCCTTGTCCTCATATCCCAGCTCCTTGTCCTCATATCCCAGCTCCTTGTCCTCATATCCCAGCTCCTTGTCCTCATATCCCAGCTCCTTGTCCTCATATCCCAGCTCCTTGTCCTCATATCCCAGCTCCTTGTCCTCATATCCCAGCTCCTTGTCCTCATATCCCAGCTCCTTGTCCTCATATCGCAGCCCGGATGATCAGGTAAACTATTTAACACGCATTTAGTGCCCAACTAACGTGAGGACCTTTACACTCAACACAGCAATATTTAACATGATTCGAAAGGAATCCAAAGACAGATGAAGTGGGAACGATTGACACAGTTGATAGAATCGCTTTGAATAGATGAGATCTCACAGAGTTTAATTTTAAAGAGGATAGACGAGGATAGAATGGGAGGAGGAGATGCCTGAGGAAACAGTCTCAGACGTCAGGTGACGAGGTGGAGACGAGAGAGTGACGGACGTCAGGTGGGGATGTAATGATATATTCTGGAGACGTAGAGAATTGTGTCCCTCCTGTCTCTTGGGCTTGTCACAGCAGGGTGTCAGCAGCTTAGCATGAGAATTGAATATGAGGTCGTCTCCATGTGTTCTGGGCGTCCGTGGTGTGTTCTGGGACGTCCGTGGTGTGTTGTGGGATGTCCGTGGTGTGTTGTGGGTGTCCGTGGTGTGTTTTGGGATGTTCGTGGTGTGTTGTGGGACGTCTGTGGTGTGTTGTGGGTGTCCGTGGTGTGTTTTGGGATGTTCGTGGTGTGTTGTGGGACGTCTGTGGTGTGTTGTGGGACGTCCGTGGTGTGTTGTGGGATGTCCGTGGTGTGTTGTGGGACGTCCGTGGTGTGTTTTGGGATGTCCGTGGTGTGTTGTGGGGCGTCCGTGGTGTGTTGTGGGTCGTCCGTGGTGTGCTGTGGGACGTCCGTGGTGTGTTGTAGGGCGTCCGTGGTGTGTTGTGGGTCGTCCGTGGTGTGCTGTGGGACGTCCGTGGTGTGTTGTGGGCGTCCGTGGTGTGTTGTGGGCGTCCGTGGTGTGTTGTGGGCGTCCGTGGTGTGTTGTAGGACGTCCGTGGTGTGTTGTGGGCGTCCGTGGTGTGTTGTAGGCGTCCGTGTTGTGTTGTAGGCGTCCGTGGTGTGTTGTGGGCGTCCGTGGTGTGTTGTAGGACGTCCGTGGTGTGTTGTAGGTGTCCGTGGTGTGTTGTAGGTGTCCGTGGTATGTTGTAGGTGTCCGTGGTGTGTTGTGGGACGTCCGTGGTGTGTTGTGGGACGTCCGTGGTGTGTTGTGGGACGTCCGTGTTGTGTTGTAGGCGTCCGTGGTGTGTTGTAGGACGTCCGTGGTGTGTTGTAGGACGTCCGTGGTGTGTTTTGGGCGTCCGTGGTGAGTGTTGTGGGTGTCCGTGGTGTGTTGTAGGTGTCCGTGGTGTGTTGTAGGTGTCCATGGTGTGTTGTGGGCGTCCGTGGTGTGTTTTGGGCGTCCGTTTGTGTTGTAGGCGTCCGTGGTGTGTTGTGGGACGTCCGTGGTGTGTTGTAGGTGTCCCTGGTGTGTTGTGGGCGTCCGTGGTGTGTTGTGGGACGTCCGTGGTGTGTTGTGGACGTCCGTAGTGTGTTGTGGGACGTCCGTGGTGTGTTGTGGGGTGTCCGTGGTGTGTTGTGGGACGTCCGTGGTGTGTTCTGGGACGTCCGTGGTGTGTTGTGGGCGTCCGTGGTGTGTTGTGGGACGTCCGTGATGTGTTGTAGGACGTCCGTGGTGTGTTGTGGGACGTCCGTGGTGTGTTGTGGGACGTCCGTGGTGTGTTGTGGGCGTCCGTGGTGTGTTGTGGGACGTTCGTGGTGTGTTGTAGGTGTCCGTGGTGTGTTGTAGGACGTCCGTGGTGTGTTGTGAGCGTCCGTGGTGTGTTGTGGGCGTCCGTGGTGTGTTGTGGGACGTCCGTTTTGTGTTGTAGGTGTCCGTGGTGTGTTGTAGGACGTCCGTGGTGTGTTGTGGACGTCCGTGGTGTGTTGTGGGACGTCCGTGGTGTGTTGTGGGCGTCCGTGGTGTGTTGTAGGACGTCCGTGGTGTGTTGTGGGCGTCCGTGGTGTGTTGTGGGACGTCCGTGGTGTGTTGTAGGACGTCCGTGGTGTGTTGTAGGACGTCCGTGGTGTATTGTGGGACGTCCGTGGTGTGTTGTGTTACGTCCGTGGTGTGTTGTGGGCGTCCGTGGTGTGTTGTAGGCGTCCGTGGTGTGTTGTAGGACGTCCGTGGTGTGTTGTGGGCGTCCGTGGTGTGTTGTGGGCGTCCGTGGTGTGTTGTGGACGTCCGTGGTGTGTTGTGGGCGTCCGTGGTGTGTTGTAGGCGTCCGTGGTGTGTTGTGGGACGTCCGTGGTGTGTTGTGGGACGTCCGTGGTGTGTTGTGGGACGTCCGTGGTGTGTTCTGGGACGTCCGTGGTGTGTTCTGGGACGTCCGTGGTGTGTTGTGGGCGTCCGTGGTGTGTTGTGGGCGTCCGTGGTGTGTTGTAGGCGTCCGTGGTGTGTTGTAGGACGTCCGTGGTGTGTTGTAGGTGTCCGTGGTGTGTTGTGGACGTCCGTGGTGTGTTGTGGGCGTCCGTGGTGTGTTGTAGGACGTCCGTGGTGTGTTATAGGTGTCCGTGGTGTGTTGTGGGCGTCCGTGGTGTGTTGTGGGACGTCCGTGGTGTGTTGTGGGACGTCCGTGGTGTGTTGTGGGACGTCCGTGATGTGTTGTGGGACGTCCGTGGTGTGTTATAGGTGTCCGTGGTGTGTTGTGGGACGTCCGTGGTGTGTTCTGGGACGTCCGTGGTGTGTTCTGGGACGTCCGTGGTGTGTTGTGGACGTCCGTGGTGTGTTGTGGGACGTCCGTGATGTGTTGTGGGACGTCCGTGATGTGTTGTGGGACGTCCGTGATGTGTTGTGGGACGTCCGTGATGTGTTGTGGGACGTCCGTGGTGTGTTGTGGGACGTCCGTGGTGTGTTGTGGGACGTCCGTGGTGTGTTGTGGGACGTCCGTGATGTGTTGTGGGACGTCCGTGGTGTGTTGTGGGACGTCCGTGATGTGTTGTGGGAATGCTAGAGATGAGTGTGGGTGTTGTGGAGTGTTGTGGTAGGTGGATACACCTGGTGATATTGATTGGCAGGTTTGGAGGTGAGGATACACCTACTCAGGCAGGTGTGTGTGTGTGTGTATTTACTATTTGTGTCTGCATAACCGAGCTGTTAGCTCTTGGACCCCGCCTTTCTAACCAATCTATTTTTCCTTTATTATATCTACTGCATATATATTTCCAACACACACACACACACACACACACACACACACACACACACACACACACACACACACACACACACACACACACATACACACACATCACCCAGGAAGCAATCCGTAGCAACTGTCTAACACCTAGGTACCTATTTACTGCTAGGTGAACAGAGCATCAGTGTGAAAGAAACTCTGTCTATTTGTTTCCGCCTCGGCCGGGTATCGAACCTGGGCCCTTACGACTACGACTCATGAGCGCTGTCCACTCAGCCGCGAGGCTCGTGGTGTACTCACCTAGTTATTCTTGCCTAGTTGTGCTTGCGGGGGTTGAGCTCTGGCTCTTTGGTCCCGCCTCTGAAGTCAGTCAATTAGTGTGTACGTGTGTGTGTGTGTGTGTGTGTGTGTGTGTGTGTGTGTGTGCGCGTGTGCGTGTGCGTGTGCGTGTGTGTGTGTGTGTGTGTGTGTGTGTGTGCGTTTGCGTGCTTGCGTGCCGACTGATATCTAGCTAGTTAAGTCCCTCCTACAAAGCCTGATTTTACCTGTTGCGTCGTAATTAATCTTTCCAGACATTGGAATTCTTGGTTGAATCTGAGAGTTTGAAAGGTGTGGATGGAGGTGGCTTCCCCAACTCCTTCTTTCAATGCGCTTCACTCGTCGACCCGTAGCCGTACAGAGGGCAGGTTCAATGTTCTCCACCCATCTTGTGATCCACTTTTCCATCTTCCACCCAAGTCTCGCTTTTGTGGTGAAGACAAAGATGATTGGTGAGGCGCAGATCAGAGACTTCATCTCCAGCATTAGGCGGAGACTTGGGAGATGCCTTGTAACTTGGAGACATGGGAGATGCCGTGTAACTTGGAGACATGGGAGATGCCGTGTAACTTGGAGACATGGGAGATGCCGTGTAACTTGGAGACATGGGAGATGCCGTGTAACTAGGAGACTTGGGAGATGCCTTGTAACTTGGAGACATGGGAGATGCCGTGTAACTTGGAGACATGGGAGATGCCGTGTAACTTGGAGACATGGGAGATGCCGTGTAACTTGGAGACATGGGAGATGCCGTGTAACTTGGAGACATGGGAGATGCCTTGTAACTTGGAGACATGGGAGATGCCGTGTAACTTGGAGACATGGGAGATGCCTTGTAACTTGGAGACATGGGAGATGCCGTGTAACTTGGAGACATGGGAGATGCCGTGTAACTTGGAGACATGGGAGATGCCGTGTAACTTGGAGACATGGGAGATGCCGTGTAACTTGGAGACATGGGAGATGCCGTGTAACTTGGAGACATGGGAGATGCCTTGTAACTTGGAGACATGGGAGATGCCGTGTAACTTGGAGACATGGGAGATGCCGTGTAACTTGGAGACATGGGAGATGCCTTGTAACTTGGAGACATGGGAGATGCCGTGTAACTTGGAGACATGGGAGATGCCGTGTAACTTGGAGACATGGGAGATGCCGTGTAACTTGGAGACATGGGAGATGCCGTGTAACTTGGAGACATGGGAGATGCCGTGTAACTTGGAGACATGGGAGATGCCGTGTAACTTAGAGAAATGCGAATAACTTAACCTGTGGAGGGACAGCGATGCCGTATACCTCATCAGTAAGACAGTCACGGGAAGAGACTTTAGATCTCATGGGTAAAAGCGACAGAGACAGAGAAAATGCATCTCCGTACGAGGTACAGAAAACGGAGTGGGCGAATCATCCCTTAGTTCTGGACAAGTCTCGTCGCATACTTCTCAACTTTCTCCAGTTTATACTTTCCTGGTGGCGATTCCGAGCCGGGGCTGCATATTAGGGTGTTGGTCTGACGTTGGCTGTATACTCTGAAGACATTGAGGTGAGACCACACACCCATGTGATGTTATTCACAGGTTAGAGACGCAGCAATGACTCCCTTTGGGGCTAAGTGTATTATGGATGGTAGCTGGAAGGTATTGCTACTGCCAAGTAGCTCTTAGTCTGGTAACCCGTCTTCTCACCTAATTGTGCTTTGCAGGGGTTGAGCTCTGGCTCTTTGGTCCCTATCTTTCAACTCGTAATCAATTGATGCACAAATTCCTGAGCCTATTGGGCTCTATCATATCATTTGAAACTGTGTATGGTGTCTTGCTTCCACTACATCACTCCATTTATTAACAACTTTGACATTGACGAAAGTCTTTCTTGTGTCTCTGTGGCTTATTTGGGTGCTGTATTTCCTCCTGTGTTCCCTTGTGCAACTATCATCCATGTTTAACAGCCTGTCTTTATCTACCCCTGTCGATTCCCCTGAGTATTTTGTATGTTGTAATTATGTCTCCCCCCCTAATTATTCTGTCTTCCAGCGACGTGAGAATTAATTCACGTTGCCATGGTTCGTAATTCACACCTTGTAGTTCTTGGACTCCTCTGGTGGCGTACCTTTGAACCTTCTCCAACTTCGTCTTGTGCCTAAGTATATGGACGCTGGAGCCGCATACCCGCATACCCGCTTGCGTCTGTGTGAGATGAGTATGTGCGTGGGTAACTGCGTCCGTCGGTGGGTAAAGGATGAGTGTAAAACGCAGACGATGAGTCACAATAACGTGGCTGAAATATGTGCCCGAAACGCTAAGCGTACTAGTGGCTTTAGGTATTGTATGTACTACCTCTATCTTTAAATCTAACAGAATATTTGTACTGTAACGCAGTAACTATGTATGTACTCTTCCTAAATAAGTTATTATTATTATGTTGCCCAAACTACCCACTAGAAAGTGAAGGGACGACGATGTTTCGGTCCGTCCTGGACCATTCTCAATCGACTTGAGAATGGTCCAGGACGGACCGAAACGTGGTCGTCCCTTCACCTTCTAGTGTGTGGTCTGGTCAACATGAGCGTGACATATTATACAAACATAGGGTAAATAGCAGTATACATCATATAACATTTAAAAAGTAGTGTAAAACAGGACACACAAAGACACACAGAAACTATCTGGATACAAATGAAAATAAATCATGCTTAATTCTAGACATTATTGGGTCAAGTGAATCAGATGGTCATTCCTATTTGTTGAGCTCACTTCCTGGCATTTTGACGGGCTCACCATAGCCCGTGCTACATGGACATTTCGTTCTGAGTAGCCAAATCGGAAAAAACAATGGCATTTTGATGGGGGAGGCGAGTCCGGGAATTCACGGAGCTGCGTGCTTCCCTGAAAGCAAATTTGGACTGACATTGAAGGTAAGATAATCAGTTTAGGAAATGCATATTGCGACCCGTGACGGAGAGCGGCATTAAGAACTCCTCTTAAGCATCGTGAAGGAGAAAGGCCGTAGGATAACCGTTAAGACGCGTCCGTAACTATTGGGAAGACTTGTAATGCATTATCTTCATTTTTGGCGAATCGCTGGCAGCTAAGAATACAATAGGTGTTCTGATTTTAGGAGAACTTTGTCAGGCTGAAACTTGGCCCTCTGATTTAAGGAGAGCTTTGTCAAGCTGAAACTTGGCCCACTGATTTAAGGAGAGCTTTGTCAAGCTGAAACTTGGCCCACTGATTTTAGGAGAGCTTTGTCAAGCTGAAACTTGGCCCACTGATTTTAGGAGAGCTTTGTCAAGCTGAAACTTGGCCCACTGATTTAAGGAGAGCTTTGTCAAGCTGAAACTTGGCCCACTGATTTTAGGAGAGCTTTGTCAAGCTGAAACTTGGCCCACTGATTTAAGGAGAACTTTGTCAAGCTGAAACTTGGCCCACTGATTTAAGGAGGACTTTGTCAAGCTGAAACTTGGCTCACTGATTTAAGGAGAGCTTTGTCAAGCTGAAACTTGGCCCACTGATTTAAGGAGAGCTTTGTCAAGCTGAAACTTGGCTCACTGATTTAAGGAGAGCTTTGTCAAGCTGAAACTTGGCCCTCTGATTTAAGGAGAACTTTGTCAAGCTGAAACTTGGCCCTCTGATTTAAGGAGAACTTTGTCAAGCTGAAACTTGGCCCTCTGATTTAAGGAGAACTTTGTCAAGCTGAAACTTGGCTCACTGATTTAAGGAGAGCTTTGTCAAGCTGAAACTTGGCCCACTGATTTAAGGAGAGCTTTGTCAAGCTGAAACTTGGCCCTCTGATTTAAGGAGAACTTTGTCAAGCTGAAACTTGGCTCACTGATTTAAGGAGAGCTTTGTCAAGCTGAAACTTGGCCCACTGATTGTTTCAACTTGACTTTGTCAAGCTGAAACTGGGGAACGTAGTCCTGCTAGGTCAGGCAGAAGTCCATTTGTGTTATCTTATATTTTAATATCAATATTTATCTTGGTGTTATATGCTGAAAATATACAATAGGATATCATGCTATCTGATTTTCTGTTTTTTTTTCGCATAATTTAGTGATGGGGTATTTTACAGGTTGTAATTCTTCTTTCACTGTTATCTTCTGATATCTTCGTTCCCGTTTATCTGTGTTTCTTGAACTTGTCGTTTGTCATTCAAGCTGTCATTCATTCAGTGACTGGCATGTCATTCAAACATTCACCTGCCCGAAACGCTATGTGGGTATTAGTGGCTTTACATGTATGTAAAAATACCAATGCTGTGTTATCTCACTAATACATTGTACCTTCTTGCAAATAATTTATTATTATTATTATTATCATTTGTTAGTTATAATTTGCATGTTATTTGGTCAGTGACCTGCAGTTTAGAGTGTAGAATGGTTCAGTTATTCCCCCTTGTACTGTGTCCTTTGTTTCTCCTTAGTCTCTCTATGTCTCTTTCTGTAATTTTTGTTCTTAACGTCGCCCTCATTCTACTCTTGACATTCTTGCTCATGTTTTCATTGTACCCTTCTTATACGCCTTGTCTCATTCTGCCTGATACTCCTCATTCCGCCCTGACACACACACTCTCTCTCTCTCTCTCTCTCTCTCTCTCTCTCTCTCTCTCTCTCTCTCTCTCTCTCTCTCTCTCTCTCTCTCTCTCTCTCTCTCTCTCTCTCTCTCTCTCACTGCTGGTACTTGGGCTCTGTTTCCTAGCCGAATAATTAAATTAGAGTATCTAAAATTATCCCGTGTCGCACCTTTGCTCCATGCGCACCCTGCCCCCCATGCGCACCCTGCCCCCATGCGCACCCTGCCCCCATGCGCACCCTGCCCCCATGCGCACCCTGCCCCCATGCGCACCCTGCCCCCATGCGCACCCTGCCCCCATGCGCACCCTGCCCCCATGCGCACCCTGCCCCCCATGCGCACCCTGCCCCCATGCGCACCCTGCCCCCATGCGCACTCTACGAACCTAACATCAGCCTGAAAATATATTGTAGAGAGCAAAGGTTGTCTATAATGAGGATGTTCATTGTCGCCTGATATGTGGGTGTCAGCATCATCATCGTCGCCATGGCAACGATCTCCCTGCTGACGTTCTCCAGTCGAGTATTTACCCTCCAACCACTTAGGGGATGGCGGTAGAGCGACGACCTTGCGTCTTGCAGGGTCGCCGTTCGATTCCCCGATGCTGCAAGGGGGCTGGGGATAGTTCCTTCACTCAGGCTTCATTTACCAGTTCCTTGTACTCGTGGCCCAGCTTCTTGTTCTCGTATCCCAGCTCCTTGTCCTCATATCCCAGCTCCTTGTCCTCGTATCCCAGCTCCTTGTCCTCGTATCCCAGCTCCTTGTCCTCGTGTCCAAGCTCCTTGTCCTCATATCCCAGCTCCTTGTCCTCGTATCCCAGCTCCTTGTCCTCGTATCCCAGCTCCTTGTCCTCATATCCCAGCTCCTTGTCCTCATATCCCAGCTCCTTGTCCTCATACCCCAGCTCCTTGTCCTCGTATCCCAGCTCCTTGTCCTCATATCCCAGCTCCTTGTCCTTGTATCCCAACTCCTTGTCCTCATATCCCAGCTTCTTGTCCTCGTATCCCAGCTCCTTGTCCTCGTATCCCAGCTCCTTGTCCTCGTATCCCAGCTCCTTGTCCTTACATCCAAACTCTTTAGCCTCGTACTATTCCATCCATGTTCTATGTAGTCATACTGGCTTAGCGCTTCTCCCCATAATTCCCGTACCTTGCCCTTACCTTTGAAGGGCTCACGAGTCGATGTTGGAGAGAGGATGGTCTGGACATGAGGACCAACAAACACACGAAGACCTGATAGCTAAAATATTAAACAATGAGGGGGAATAAAAAGAAGAGATAATAATTATATGTGGAACTTAAATTGCTAGAACTCCCTCCCCCATTACACAATAACCCCCTTCTCCTCCTCCTTCACAACTACACAACAACCCCTCCTCCCCCTTCACAACTACACAACAACCCCTCCTCCTCCCCTTCACAACTACACAACAACCCCTCCTCCTCCCCTTCACAACTACACAACAACCCCTCCTCCTCCCCTTCACAACTACACAACAACCCCTCCTCCTCCCCTTCACAACTACACAACAACCCCTCCTCCCCCTTCACAACTACACAACAACCCCTCCTCCTCCCCTTCACAACTACACAACAACCCCTCCTCCCCCATCACAACTACACAACAACCCCTCCTCCCCATCACAACTACACAACAACCCCTC